CTCAAGCTTCAATATGATTAAATAAAATGTGTAAAACACTTAGAATATAGTAAATACTTAGCTTTTTTTTTTTTTTTTTTTTTTAATTTGCTGTAGGGCATATGCATTTGCCAGAAAGAGATGGGACAGGGAGTAAGAAAGCACCTCCCAGAGGGAATGGCCACACCACAATCCCTTCTCCTTCATTCTTCTCTTGGGATTTTGGGCGCGCACACACGTGCCTGGTGTGCTTTTCAAGTCACTGGGTCCGGAACTCTGTGGGATCCGGCTGTCTCAGCCACCATGGCATCTGGCTGGCCTGGTCCAGTCTTTGACAAACATTCTGTATACACATTTAACAGAGCTACCTTCTTAGTTTCATTCATGAACACTTCTTCCACGTTCTTGGGTCTTTAAGACTGTTACCGAATAGGTGTATAACCTAAAGACTCCTCAATTGGAATTTGGGATGTTAAAGTTTTAAAGAAAAGGCTGGGGCCAGACAGTGGTGCACCGGACAAAACAATGCTCTGAGAGGCAATCCCACGTGGGATGTTCCTGGTTCAAGTCCTCAGGAGACCTCTCGAGTACACCACACAGGGACTTGCCCCTTGTCTGGGCCGGCTGAGGCTGAGCTAGGTGCAGCATCAGGACTCTCTCTCTCTCTCTCTCTCTTTTGGAGTGAATTATTTTTTCTTAGATTTTTGTCATAGGATGTGTGCACTTGCCAGAGAGGGAGAGAGAGACAGAGAGAGGGAAGGTGAGAAATCACTAGCGGGGTAGAGAGCGGGTATGGCCATGCCACAATCTCTTCTCCTCCTTTCTCATCTCAGGATCTGGGGCATGTACACACAAGCGCCCGGTGTGATTTTTAAGCCACCAGTTCAGTATTCGAACCATGGAGGGAGTCCAGTGTCTTAACCACCATGCAACCTCTTGGCCCTGGAGTGAATTATTTTTGTAAATAATCAAAAATTCTACTTAGAATCAAATGGCTTTGCCCTTCGAAAGCACAACAAAGCAATCTCATCTCCTAAGACTAGTAACACGCTAGGGAAGACATCTTTGAAGGCAGAGCTGTTCGGAATCCATGACATCAAGTAGGAGAACTTGCTAGAGAAAGGCGGTCCTCTGTCCCACGGTTCCAGGATACAAAGTGGACAATTTCATCTGGGGCCCAGAGAGAGCAGTCAGGGAGCTGAGGGGGCTGCATGGAAGTTTCTAGAAACCGGGACTTTCCTAGACATCTTTGTTGGGTCTGTTTTAACAGGAAACGAAGAAGATATGGTAGGGAGTGGTATTCCCCTCAAAGTTAGTGATGCAGAAGCAGAGGTCAAAGACAGGTTGGATAAAGCCCATTCTATTGACTCCCACCCTAACCCTACCCTTAGGTAGTTGGCCCACTGTCTAGGCCCTGGCGTCCCCAGTGGTTGGACTCACACCCTAGGACAGCCACCCCGATGTGGTCGGCCCACTGTCTAGGCCCTGGTGTCCCCCATGGTTGGACTCCCACCCTAGGACAGCTACCCCGATGTGGTCAGCCCACTGTCTAAGCCCTCGCGTCCCCAGTGGTTGGACTCTCACCCTAGGACAGCCACCCCGCTGAAGTCAGCCCATAGTCTAAGCCCTGGTGTCCCCAGAGGTTGGACTCTCACCCTAGGACAGCTACCCCAATGTGGTCAGCCCATAGACTAAGCCCTGGTGTCCCCAGTAGTTGGACTCCCACCCTAGGACAGCCACTCCGATGTGGTCCGCCCGTTCGGAATCCATGACATCAAGTAGGAGAACTTGCTAGAGAAAGGCGGTCCTCTGTCCCACGGTTCCAGGATACAAAGTGGACAATTTCATCTGGGGCCCAGAGAGAGCAGTCAGGGAGCTGAGGGGGCTGCATGGAAGTTTCTAGAAACCGGGACTTTCCTAGACATCTTTGTTGGGTCTGTTTTAACAGGAAACGAAGAAGATATGGTAGGGAGTGGTATTCCCCTCAAAGTTAGTGATGCAGAAGCAGAGGTCAAAGACAGGTTGGATAAAGCCCATTCTATTGACTCCCACCCTAACCCTACCCTTAGGTAGTTGGCCCACTGTCTAGGCCCTGGCGTCCCCAGTGGTTGGACTCACACCCTAGGACAGCCACCCCGATGTGGTCGGCCCACTGTCTAGGCCCTGGTGTCCCCCATGGTTGGACTCCCACCCTAGGACAGCTACCCCGATGTGGTCAGCCCACTGTCTAAGCCCTCGCGTCCCCAGTGGTTGGACTCTCACCCTAGGACAGCCACCCCGCTGAAGTCAGCCCATAGTCTAAGCCCTGGTGTCCCCAGAGGTTGGACTCTCACCCTAGGACAGCTACCCCAATGTGGTCAGCCCATAGACTAAGCCCTGGTGTCCCCAGTAGTTGGACTCCCACCCTAGGACAGCCACTCCGATGTGGTCAGCCCACTGTCTAGGCCCTGGTGTCCCCAGTGGTTGGACTCTCACCCTAGGTCAGCCACCCTGATGTGGTCGGCCCACTGTCTAGGCCCTGGTGTCCCCCCATGGTTGGACTCCCACCCTAGGACAGGTACCCCAATATGGTCAGCCCAGTCTAAGCCCTGGTGTCCCCAGTGGTTAGACTCTCACCCTAGGACAGCCACCCCGATGTGGTCGGCCCACTGTCTAGGCCCTGGTGTCCCCCATGGTTGGATTCTCACCCTAGACAGCTATGCCAATATGGTCAGCCCACAGTCTAAGCCCTGGTGTCCCCAATGGTTGGACTCCCACCCTAGGGCAGCACCCTGACGTGGTCAGCCCACAGGCTAAGCCCTGGCGTCCAGTGACTGGCAACGAGCCCCTGGGGCAGTTCCTCAGTGAGACTGACACCGTCTACACCTTTGGGACGGGAGTCACCACATACTCACCTGACGCGTAACCTTTCATGGTGAGGCATGCTGGGATCTGAGAGTGTTCTCCTAAATGTGCCTCCCTGTGTGAAACACAAAGCCTGACAGCCACCCCTGTGGTGCGACTTGCGTGCCTGGTCCTCGATCTTCCCACAACCTCATATAAACAGAAAGGAGCCCGTTTTGTTTCCTGTCCCCAAGTCAGCCTCCGAGGTGACTGTACAGGTGACACCGAAGACCTCGAATGCGTCCCTCTAGCTTCAACTCCAAGCAACTGCAATCACTTGAACCATTATTTAGCTTGTTTTTTGTTTTTAAGGTTTTGCACTCGCCAGAGAGAGAGAGAGACAGTGAAGGGGAAGTGAGAAATCACCCACCAGGGGGAAGGCCACGCCACCCCCTCCATGTTCCTCCCAGGATTTGGGGCACGCGTGCACACATGACCGGCTTTATTTAGCTTTTTACATCCAAGTATGTCAAAAGACACGGCCATTTCTTCAGAGGAACCAAGACACCCTTCACCTGGAGGTTCCTTTCCAAGGTGTCCCACAGTAGGAATCAGCCGCAATCTCTTTTAAATTTTTTAATTTTTAAAATTTTTTTGAGAGGTTTCTGCTATAGGGTGCGTGCACTCGCCAGAGACAGAGACAGAGAGACAGAAAGTAAGAAATCACCCCCCCAGGGGGGGATGGCCACACCGCAATCCCTTCTCCTCCATTCTCCTCTCAGGATCTTGGGCACGCATGCACACGCGCCCGGCGTGAGTTTAAGTCCCTGAGTCCAGGACGCGAACCGCGGTCAGCTACATGGGAGTCCAGCAACACAGCCATTACGCTAACTGCTGTTCCTCCGCGGTCTCTTGATTAACGCCACGGAGACCCAAGTTCTCTGGGTTCCTGGCAGTAGACAGGACAGAGCCCCAGTGAGGACAAGTCAGGACAGGGAGTGTGGGGTCTTCCCCACTGTCCCTAATTTACCCAACTAGGAGGGGACATCCCCGTTCAAGCATCCATTGCTGGGAACAGATGTCATTTAGTTTTACCAAATTTACCAACTTTTAAATTACACACTAGTGTATCCTTATCCATGAAATAACAAAAACACCAAAGACATTTGTTGAAAAAAAAAAAAAAAAAAACAAGGGACCAGCAGTTAGTGTAATGGCTATGTCGCTGGACTCCCATGTAGCCGACCGCGGTTCGTGTCCCAGACCCGGTGGCTTAAACTCATGCCGGGCGCATGTGCGTGCGTGCTCAAGATCCTAAGAGAATAGAGAAGGGATTGCAGTATGGTCATCCCCCCAGGGAGGTGATTTCTCACTTTGTGTCTCTGTCTCTCTCTTTCTGGCAAGCTCACATGCCCTATAGCAAAAATCTCTCCAAAAAAAAATAAACAAGAAAAATCTGAAGATTCAACAAAGAAGAGTCTAATAAGCCATGACAACTCAATGTCATGTGCTCTCCTAAGTGGTATCCACAAATTAAAACAGGGGACCGGGCAAAACCAAGACAGTCTGACTGAGCCAGACCACCAGAAACATGTCAACCTGGGTTCACTGACTCTAACAAATGCGTCCCACTAATACGAGATGTTAATACAGCAAACGGGAGGAGTATATGGTAACTGCTCTAGTTCCTTGATTTCTCTATACAATTATCCTAAAAAATTGTCTCAATCTCTTTAAACAATTTTTTCCACGGGTGTCCGTGGTAACAGATGCACAGAGAAACGTCTAGAGACATCCTAACCCAGTAACATTTTCCAGATAATCCTCTGCTCCATGCCGTAGGAGTTGCTCATATGGAACACTTGTTTTTATTGTTTTAGGATTTTCTCAAAGAGCATGCATGCTCACCGGAGAATGACAGAGAGAGGGAAAGTTAAAAAATCACCCCTCCAGGGGGATGGCCATACCACAATCCCTTCTCCATTCTCCTTTCGGGATTTTGGGCACGCACGCATACAAGCCCAGCATGATTTCCAAGCCACTGGGTCCAGGACTTGAACTGCGGTCAAACCGTGTGAAAGTCCAGCACCTTACCCACCATGCCACCTGCTGGCTCCTGGACTGCTTACTTATACATTACTATCAAAATAGAACTAGATATAGTGGGGGGAAGGTAAGAAATGAGACTCGGTTCAGGCTTCTCTCTTATCAGCAGAAAACCTTTATTCCTTTCCAGGACAATCCAACCACATTCAAGGTTTCAACATACACACGGCAACCGAAGCGGCTGCCGAAAGCGTTAGATATTGGGGACAAGACGCACGGTGGGGGTGCTGTGCCATCGGAAGCTCTCACCAGGCTGTGCCACCGGCAGCTGAGCCCTGCTAGGGCTTGCGTGTGGCTGAGGGGAGGCGGTGTCTGCAGAACTGAAGGGGGACAGCTGTTCACAAGGACTGAAGCGTTTTCGACTGAGTGGGGAGGTCTCTATCTTCACGGGGAAGGGAGGAGGGGAGGCCGGCGAAGTCCCCCTGCAGGCACTAGGCTGCCTTGCAGAGCGCCACCGCAGAAAAGCGGACTTCGCCTTGCTCGCGCTCGGTGAATTCTCTGCAGACCTTGGCAGCGTTCTGGAAAGAAGGAATGTCGTTAAGAGCCAAGAAGTTCAAAATGCAGCTTCAACAACAAGGGAACTCCAAGCCTATTAATGATCAAAGTTCCCCATGGCCAGCTTTGTTTTATAATTTTTTTGTTTTGTTTGCTTTGTTTTTGCCATAAGGGTGCATGAGCTCGCTGGAGAGAGAGAGAGAAAGTGAGAAATCACCCCATGGGGGGTTTGGAGGATAGCCATGCTGTAATCTCTTCTCCTCTGGTCTCCTCCTGGGACTCTGGACAGGCATGCACACACGTGTGCCCAGCATGATTTTGAAGCCACCAAGTCCAGGACTCAAACTGCAGTCAGCCATGCGGGAGTCCAGTACCTTCACCACTATTCTACCTGCTGGCCCCTTTTAAAATATTTTTAAAAGTTTATTTCTTTTGCAAGTAAGACACAGAGAAAGAGAGAGACAGCACTCCCAAAAGGACCTTGATGCCATGATCCACTCCAGCCTCAGCCACGCCCGGATCTGGGACACACATGCCTGGTGTACTCGGGAAGGCTTCCCGTGTGGGGCTGCCTCGCAGAGCACTGCGTCTTACCACTGAGCCCCCATCTGGCCCTGGCTCGCTGAACTTGCAAACCAAGGCCCATGGCAACAGGTGGCTCTGTGCTCCTTCCACCTGGTGCCTGGACTTAGAAAACTAAGCTGCTAGCATTCTCTTCCTCAAATCTAAACAAGATACAAAATAAGACAAAAGTTCTCCAAACTCAGAAGCTCCTGGAGTAGAGACATTTCTTTCAAGTAGACGTTTTACAAAATGGACTTAAAGCCTAGACACCTGGTACTCCAGGTACAAAGAAATGATGGGTCCTTGGGTGTTCGTGATGCTGTGAAGTGAGCTTGCTCACCCTAAGGCTTAGCTCACGAGGACTGGCAACAGAAAACTGACCTCAACGTCAGTTACTCGCCAAATTCTAGGGCTTCGATGCTTTGGGATCATAATTACTGTTCACTCCATTAAAAAGTCTAGTGGAAGAGCCAGCAGGTGTCATGGTGGTTAAGGCACGGGACTCCCACATGGCTGACCGCAGTTCAAGTCCCAGACCCAGCAGATTGAAAATTGTAACAGGTACATATGCATGCGTGCCCAAGACCCCAAGAGAAGGGATTTAATAAAATAATTCTTAAAAAAAAAAAAAAAAAACTAATGGGTTGACAGCTACATTTTAAATATTTTAATACATTAAAACTTCTTTCAGAAAAGTTCTAACTTTTCTCAAATCAACTTTCAAATCAACTTTCCTTTAGACCACACCATTGATTTCAATAGTAAAGGTGTCCTTTAAAAATAGCCATCTCGGACCAGCAGATGGCATAATGGCTATGGCACTGGACTCCCATGTAGCTGATTGAGGTTCGAGTCCCAGACCTGATGGCTTAAACTCACACCAGGCGCGTGTGCATGCGTGCCCAAGATCCTGAGAGGAGAATGGAGAAGGGATTGAGGCGTGGCCATCCCCCCTGGGGGGTGATTTCTCGCTTTCCGTCTCTGTCTTTCTGGCCAGCACACGTACCCTATAGCAAAAACGTCTCCAAAAAATAAAAACAAAAAAGAATAGCCATCTCCTTTACAGACAAGGAGCAGTGACCCAAGTCGTTTAAGTTTAGGGTACTTGGGTTAAGTGTATATATTCTCCTATGCGCTTAACAATAATTACTATAGTGTGTAGTTTAGACAACCTGACACATCTTTAAGCACTTAGAACCAGCCTTACATAGGATAAGAATTTCCATTAACAAGATGCTGGCTTATATGCATCATTTAATTTTAAGTAAGATTCTAATTACACAGGTCTCCCCGCCCCCCACCCTGAGGGTGTATGTGCTTGCTGGAAACAGAAAGAGCTGGAGAGAGAACGCGAAAAAAGTACCCCCTCTGGGGCATGGTGGTGCCGCGGTCCCTTCTCTTCTTCTTTCCCTCCTTTTGCATTTTGGGCACGCACACCCCACAAGCAGGCTCTCAAGCCACCGCTCCGGGACTCAAACCGTGCTGTCAGCCAGGTGGGATCCAGCCGCCTTAACCTCCATGCCAAGCTGGCCCTATTTTGTTTTTTTTCAAACCAAAAGGTTGACTTTCCTCACGCCTCATGTAACAGTTTTAGGTACCCCGTGTGGGGAACACCTCCAAGTATTTAGTGCAGGGTCAACCATGAGCTAGCAAATATCTTAGAGGCTTCATTAGAAGAATGGGAGTTTTCTCCTAAGTGAACAAAGACGGAAGTTCTGCCTCTCTTCTCGCCCCTCCCATAGGGAGGGCATTTGACTCTCATGCAAATGCCCCACCCCTCTCTAGGTCTGCTGCTCATTCCCTATCACTCCTTCCTGTTCTTCCCATATACCAAGAAGGCGCTTTCACCGACCTCAGTGTGTGACAGTTGGCTAGAGGAAGTGACCCTCCTTCCTAGACTGGCATGGCTTGGTCCCCTGGCACCGCGAGGGTATTAGGTCTTGACGTTCTAAAGATGGGTCAGCTACAAAGGAGGGCCACACTGCACAGTGGCGGCCTCATCTCTACACGCAAGACCGTTCAGCTCAGCTCTGAACCACGGTTCTGCCACGTGGGTCTCTGGGCTTGGCCATTTCTTAGTCTCTCTGCACCTGAACTTCCTCAACTGTTAGATAAGGACAATATTTAACTCATTACAGGAATAAAAAGGTTTTTTTTGTTTGTTTGTTTTCTTTTGTAATTGCCAGAGGGCGTGTGGACTCAGGCAGACAGAGGGGAGGAGGGAGAGGGAGAGAGCACCCACAAGGGGGCATGGTCATACCAGAGCCCTCCTCCAGCTGCTGGGATTTGGGGCATGCAGGCACCCAGAGTGTTTTGTATTGTTTATTTTTTTTTAAGAATTACTTTGTTAACTTTATTTATTTAAATTTGAGTAGAGGGACAGAGAGAGAGAGAGAGAGAGAAAGCAAGCTGCCAGATCTGGGACTTGAACCATGATCAGTCATGTGGGAGTCCAATGCCTTTAAGCACCACACCGCCTGCTGGTCCCATACCCAGAGTGTTTTTCAAGTTGTCAGGCCTTAGACAACAGAGCCAGCCCCCATAAAAAGGATTCCACAAAAGCTATGAATTACTCCGAATGGCACCTAACATGGGGTGGGCAGACTGCAGCCTTCGAGACAAATCCAGCCCGCGGCCTATTTTGGAGAAAAAGCTTTGGTGGGATCCGGTACACACAGTCATTTAGACCCGGCCAGTAAGTTGCTCTGGAGTTTTAGAGCAGCACTGACCCCTTGTAGGAGAGCTGTAGGCTACACAAATCCCAAATCAATTTGGCTTTTTACAGGACAAATTTGCCGACCCTAGTCTGCCCATAGCAAATGCTTAAAAAAGATTAGCTGGGGGCCAGCAGGTGGCATGGTGGTTAAGGCACGGGACTCCCATATGGTCTATCATGGTTCGAGTCCTGGACCTGGTGGCTTTAAAAAAAAAAAAAAAAAAAAAATTCACACTGGGGGCATGACAACGTGGCCCAAACTGGGTGCATGTACACGTGTGCCCAAAATCCCAAGAAGAGAATAGAGGAGAAGGGATTGCACGTGGCCTCCTATGCCAGGGGGTGATTTCTCACTTGCCCTCTTACTGTCTCTCTCTGGTGAGTGCATGCACCCAATAGCAAAAACCTAAAAAAAATTTAAAAGCACAGAATAGCCGTTGTTGCTATAACAAACGTCTTAGTTACACTTTCTCAGCATTTTGCAGGTTACTATAATGAGGCAATTCCCCTTGCTAGCAGCATACTGATTCAACGCTTCGGACTCATTTTCAGAGTGAAGAAGCCTAGAGTAATCTACAAACTCTTATCCAGAATCAAAACATTTTTGTCCAGGATGGTCACACGGCAGCCTGGACCTTAAAGTTCACATCGGCACGTTTTGACTCGGCTTCTCAACCTGTAAACGGTGGGCCACGTGGGAAGAAAAACCTCTGGAATGTAATCACCTAACCAAACCGTAGAATACTGCCACTCCGACTGGCCAACCCAGCAGCCTTCACGGGATTAGAAGAGGCTCCCGACGCTGTCGCTAGGCTTCAGCGGTGATGTGATCTGACAGGCGAACAATGGTCACCTTAATCCCCCCAAAGAAGCAAAGCAATGGTTTTCACGCCGATGCGAACTGGAGAACGCACATTAAACAGATCAGGCAGGGCTTCTCCTAGGGATCCCGTGAAAACCACTTCCATAGGCTAAGGCCGACAGTTACTGAGACGCTATTTAAACTCTCAGCACGGCCACAAACCCAGACAACTGAGGCTGGTGTACTGAAAGAAATTAAGGATAGATAGTAGGTCATTGGGAATGTCATGACATATTTTTCTATGCAAAAATGCATCATGACTTTGCAGACGACCCGATAATTTGGCTTAAAAAAACCCCGAGCGTGGCCTAGTGGACAGAGATGCATTCTGAAGATTACCTGCAGCAGGGAGTCGTCTGAGCTGGTGCCATGGTTCACCGGAAAAGGCATCCGCCCATCTAGAACAAAGCAGCAGGGGGTGTCAGCGTTCTCTGCACACTGCCTGGCCCAGAGGGAAACTTTAGATTCTTTTTTTTTTTTTTGAGATATTTTTTGCTATAGGGCGTGTACACTCACTGGAAATACAGAGAGAGACAGAGAGACAGAAAGACAGAAAGCGAGAAATTAACACACACCCCCCCCCACCCCCGGGGTGGGAGGGATGGCCACACCACAATCCCTTCTCCTCCAGTCTCCTTGTGGGATTTTGGACACATGTGTACATGCGCCTGGACTGAGTTTAAGCCACTGGGTCCAGGACTCGAACTGCAGTCGACTCCATGGGAGTCGAGCAACATAACCATGACGCCATCGGCTGGTCCCAAGGGAAACTTTCGATTCTTCTGACTACCACTGTTGCTCCCACAAAAGGGAAACTAGTTATGAAGCAACAGGCTGCAAACACGGGTCCCACGCACCTAGATGGCCACCCCGAGCAGTTCTCATCTCTAACACGATCACACGGAGTCAATCAGCTACCCTAACAGAGTGGACTGTGCCCCCATCTCTGGGGAAGGCTCACAGGGCCAAGTCAGACCAGTCTCTGGGGTGCAGGACAGGAAAGGTGGATGCTAGACGGGTCCCGGTGGATGCCATGTGCCGCAGGGCTCATGCGCTCACCAGAGAGAGAGGGGAAGTGAGAATCACCCCCGGGGGTGGTGACTACCCTGCAACCCCTTCTCCATTCTCCCGGGATTTGGGCACACAAATGCACCCAGGCATGATTTTTAAGTAGTCAGGTCTGGGGTTCGAATCGCTTTCAGCCATATGGAAGTCCAGCGCCTTAACCACCACACCACCTGCTGGCCCTAGCTGATTTTTTTCTTTTTTTCTTTCTTTCTTTTTTTACACAAAGTCCTCTTCAAGCATCGATCCTTTTGTAGAAGTTCTCTTTGTCCAAAAAATATGGCACACGAGGAGATGCATGGACGGATGGAGGAGAAGTCTGAGCACACGGCCCTGAATGGTTGCGGCTCTACTCCCCTGACTAGTGGTGGCTAAGCCATCCCAGTGGCTGTCAGCTGCCTGAGGGGGGCGCTCTGAGTACCATACAGGGTTAAGCACTCCCACGAGAAAACCTTACTGTGGCTTCATGAGCAACGGTACACCAAGAGCCATAAGATCACACAGCTAGACTCTGAGAGAAACTAAGTCTGAAAGAATTGCACGAAGCTAGACCGGATCCCAAAAGGGAGCGACACGTACCAAGTTCGTAGAGGTGGCCATCCACGTTGTTGAACAGAATAAAATGAAAATTCACCTTGTCATCTACCTGGAGAGTTAAGAAGAGCGTTTGAAAATGAGTATTATACAAAGTGAACCTGTGATTATAAAAACAAACTCTCTCCTGATTCAACTGAAAAATGCTTGAACCGACTTGCGTACGTATTTTATTACTTTTTTAAGGTTTTTGTTGTTTGTTTTTCCCATAGCTGTGTATGCACTTGTGAGAGAAAACAGAGATGCAGAGAGAAGGAGTCACCTTTCCTGGGAGAAATCACCCCCCGAGGGGAGATGGCCACACCACAGCCCTTTCTCCTCCATTCTCTTCCTTGGGTTTTGGGTGCACACCCGCCCAGCATGACTTTCAAGCTTGCCAGGTCCGGGACCTGAACTGTGGTCAGCCATATGAGAATCCAGTGCGATAACCACCATACCATCTACTGCCCCCTTGCTTACGTATTTTTTTAAAGAGGTTTTTGCTATAGGGTGCGTGCGCTCATCAGAAAGACAAAGAGAGACAAAGAGACAGAAAGCGAGAAATCACCCCCCGGGGGGGATAGCCACGCTGCAATCCCTTCTCCTCCATTCTCCTCTCGGGATCTTGGGCACGCATGCACATGCGCCTGGCGTGAGTTTTAAGCCACCGGGTCCAGGACTCGAACTGCGGTCAACTACATAGGAGTTCAGCGACATAGCCATTA